GGATCGATCCACTGACGGACAGAGCCCAAACACGAGGACCCAAAACATGTGTGCGAGTGGGATGTACAAATTGGAGCTTAATGCTTTGTTTAGGACAAGATAACAACATTATAAGGCTCCCAAAAACAAACAAACCAAGTAAGTTTAAAAGAATTAATTCAAATTCAAAATTTGAATTAATTAAAGAATTTTGGTGTAGAAATTGTGTCCCAAAAATATTTTGTGTGTCAAACGATGTACACGAAAAATATTTGAATAAAATATTTTTGCTTACCAAAAATATTTTATATTATCAAAATAAATATTTGATAAATGTTTGGCACCCCTTTTGTGACTGACTCAATAAAACTATTTTGAACAGTTAAAAAGATTTTTCAACTGACTCCAAAAATAAATATAATTTTTATTTTAACTCTCATAAAAATAATTTTGGAGAGAAGATATTTTTGTCATCCTTACAAATATTCCTACGACTCAAATAAAAAGTCTTCGGAAATCTTCTACTCCTCCGAGTCCTCCGTTAGGCGCTCCGAACGCATCTCGGACTCCAATAAAATCCTGTGCACCTTCTTGAACACTTCAAGGAATGGCACTTCAAGTCTTCGTGTTTGTCGTTGTAGCACTTTGATCTTGACTTGAATAAATTGTGTTTGTCAATTATCAAAACCTGTGAGTAACACTTAACAACACAAAAAGGGTTGAACTCATGCATTCCAACATGTGTGTGGGCAATAAAGGTTAACTAACCCCCAAGGACCCATAGACATACTTTGGGTACCAAAGTGTTGTTTTTTTTGCAGGTACGTATCAAAGTGAGGAACTCAGGGGGAACTAGCCATGGGTGGTTTATCCAATCGCTGGGAAGGAAGTATTTTCTAAACAGCAGCCCTCTTCCCATCGATGGGAACTTCTTCCCATCGCTGGGTGTTTGACACTTTTTTAAAAAAAAAAAAATTTTAACGGATTTCCAGTAGCTGTCTTCCCATCGATGGGAGAACCTTACCATCGCTGGGAAGCCTGTTGCAGTTCAAAAATCATAGCCGTTGGGCACCTCATTCAATGACCAACAGCCATATTTTTTAACACCAAGGGCCCAAATTCTCATTTCATAACTATTAACCATCCTTGGTCATTTTTAACACACAATTCACATTCCTCTTGCATACTTTCTAAACGCTTCAACAATGGCCAGAAGAAAGTCAAGGACCAAAACCGAGGCTTCAAAGAAGAAGGCCAACACCGATGCCACGACATCTTCTTTATTTTCTCCTTATTAAATATGATTGTATTTTTATCCGTTGTATTCTGCATTTCCCTTTTAATGAATAAAAGTTTACTTCTAATTCTTTTTGTTAATGTCAAAAGGGGGAAGATATAAAAGTTATGCATAGATTGAGGGGGGAACTTTTTCTAAAACTAACTCTTATTCAACACATAAACTTTGTTGAAAAGAAAATTGCATTTATTAAGGGGGAACATTTTTTAAGTCTCAAATCAATCCTCCTATGCATAACCCCGTCTTGTTTGCCATTATCAAAAAGGGGGAAATTGTTGAAACACAGGTTTATCGTGTTTTCGTACTAAAGCCGTGTTCGTTTTTATGACAGGTTTTGATAATGCCAAACCACCGTGAACGAGACAAGTTATTGAATATACAAGGCGAGAAATAAATATAAGAAGAAATCAAGAGAACAAGACCCAAAAGAAGACCAAGAACGAAGACCGTAGTCTTAGTGTTGTTGAGTCGGTCATAATTGTGATCAAGACCGACCCAACCTTTACACCTTGGCTCTTTAGGCTAAAATTCTTTTCATTGCATTTCACACATCATAAAAATGTTTTTCAAACATGTTTAAAACATTAAAAACACTTGGTGTTCGCCCAAACCAAAAA